TATATATCCGTGTATATAGAGTATTCAGCAGATGACGAGTTTTACCGAAATTTGATGAATCCATCATTAAATCATCCTGCTTTATTCACCTTTATTGCTTGTTTTAAAGCCTAGTGGGTTCATTTTATATAGATAAAATATTCATTTACCATGAAAGGCCATTATCGATACATAGGTTAGATAGAATTAGTTTAGAATTATTGTAAACTCGGGCATTTCTTATGATATTTTTGCTATTAGGAAAGAAGAATCATAGTATAAAGCAGTAAGCACGGTTTTCATGTCCAACTAAAACTACAGTATAAACGATACAGAGTACAAAAAGTTCTATAGATATTCACATTTCAGATATGGCTTGTGAAAGGCTAAGTGTGTATTAAAATCCACACCATGATCAGTCATTACAATCCACTAGACGAATAAGAGGCATGAAGAAACAGCGTAAACTTGGTAGTAATGGGCAGCTGTCTCGTCAGACTAGTTTGGGACTCTTCATCAGTGGGTTAGTTCTGTTGAAGAGTCCCAGATTAGTCTGAATAAACAGCTGTCCAGTACTCCGTGACTGGTATTCCAATGGTTCTGTAATTAACAAAGAAAGTATTACAATCGCTGAAACAAATGTTAACATCATCAACACGTGAACATACAAATGACAAAATGGTACATTCCTTTGAATTCCGAGTGGAGAGTAAGATTTACGCTATAATCTTTGAAGTCTCAGTAGCACTTGAGGTGAGATTGCTAGTCTCATGTTCAACTTCCCCTTCTTTTTTGGGCTACTTAATAGCTAGGTAAGGTCTAGAAGTGCATCGGCCGGGAATCGGACCTCGAAACATGTCCCTAGCTTCGGGGGGGGGGATTCTAGCCCCCAACCACTGACGGAAAAACAGGTATATAGCAATTAGTAACTTAATACTTGAAGGGAAAGTAATGTTAATTATTCCCACGCTAGGTTGCTTAAACACAATGACAGCCAAAATTCATTACTTGATAGGCCTCAGTTAATGAGCTCACTTCCCTGAGGGGTCACAAAAACAATTACTGATTAAATGGATAGGTGTTACACTTAGCTCCACTACTGTATTCAAGCTTACAATGAAGGTAGTCCGTAGTTCAATTCCTGACCAACTAAGCTGTGGGGCAGAAACGTATACTTATTAAATGACTTCAATTCTTTAATTTTAAACTTTACACCACATTCCAACTGCTAAAAATGCAGACAGCCAAATAACCACTAAAGTCTTTGATTGAACACAAGTAACTAGTGTGATACGTCTAGTCCTTTGTTTGGTACAGAGTGAATTCTATCAGTCAGTCACCATCACGTTAGGTGGTTTCACAAGATAAGTAATGTTGACGTTAGGCGTAGAGTGTTGGGCAAAGAGGGAAAATCAATCGACGAGGCTATAAAGTTACATAGACTAAGATGGCTAGGTCACGTGCTGCGCATGCCTAACCACCGCCTCCCCCGACGGGCTTTGCTAGCTGATATAGGTTCAGGTTGGAAAAGAGCCAGTGGTGGCCAAACAAAAACATGGCCTCATCAATCCATGAAATCCTTGACAGTTAAACTGAGTCAGGTAGGGAGATGCAGACTCCCGGGTTTGGGCCCTCGGGACTGACTCTAGGAATCAATGGCTGGAGACAATAGGTGACATGGCTCAAAATCGTTGTCAATGGCCAGCGCAGATGTATTCAGTCTCTGTAATCTTTCATATTCCTTTCTACCATTACCCATTCTGTTTCACTCATACTTGTCAAACTGTATTGATTCTCTTCACTCGTCTTCTTGTCTACCTCTGTGTGCTATTTGGAACGTGGCAACTCGAACTGGTGCACTTTGGTGCCAAGTTCTATGTTGAATCCAGACAGACAGACAGACGGTGTGCATTGATTTAATGATATTAGATAGTTGGAAGCAATCAGACACAGGAAGCCTTGCTCGACCTAGGTTTCATGCTATCTGCCACTCACGAGTCAGCAAGGCTCATCATCAGCATTGGAGGAACTCATATCCCTTCTGAGATTCGAACTCCCGTCACCGAGTGCTGCAGTCAATGAAATCCACAACAGTTAGTTTAAGCCAGGTAGGAAGGTGCAGACTTCCTGATTGGTTGGAGCCCTTGGAACGGTAAAAAAAACAATGAAGGCTGGAGACAATTGGTGATATGGCTCAAAATCTCTCTCAATTGCAGGCGCAGATGCATCCTTTCGTTGTGATTTATAATTGCCAATGAAACCATACTGTTCTTCGTTATTACTATTCATCTGTCTCTTACGTCTGTCAACTGTCTCTATTTTGCATTTCTTTTTACTTTCTTCTCTTTGCTTTGTGTGGTACATGGAGGAGGGTGAGTGGTGACTCGAACTGCTGCACACTGGTGCAAACTTCTATGTCGAAAACAGACAGACAGCAGTCAAAGACGTTACCACCACTATAGTCTTCTTATCTTTCTCATTCTGCCTTTAATACATTTTCTTAAAAAAATACGTTTGATCCAGGATCAGTATTCACAAAGTGAAAACTAGGAGTATTTGTTGAATGTGTTGATTACAACAGATTCAATCGAAAATTTCGAGACTACAGTAATACTTTGGGTGGAAGAATCGGTCACCATCGCTAGGTGCTTTGCTTTCTTATGTGCGTCGGTGGCACAGTGGTTAGGACTCTCGCCGACCATGCTCATGGTCCGGGGTTCGAGCCCGCACCGACGCACACCTGATATCTATGGTCAGCCTGCGAAATTTGGGCTACCGATATCCATGCTGAAGATTCCATACTTGTACCGAAAATACAGTGTGGAATCAAGCTGTAAATCAAAAATAAATAAAATATCATATGTACAGAAAGTAGGAAAAATGATTAGAACATTTTAAACTTCCAACAAGAATGTTTGTGATTCCCTACATCACGCCAGAGTTCTAAGCTAAAAAAAAGAATCATCATCTACATTCAACAGTTATTATACTTTGAAATGCATATGGACAAAGAAGAAGAAGAAGAAGAGGTTATTCTACATAGTGACTTCATGATAGGACTGGGGAGGGGGACAATAATGCAAATAAATACCGAAGATGGAAGTTGTTGGTAATCGTTTTGAGTGAAAACTCTCCTGAAAAGCTTTCAGGTATAATGGGACGAATCAGTGTAGAACTTTGCACAGACACAGACCAGTTTAAGCTTTATTGATCCATCAGTTAAGAAGCATACTTGATGAAGGATTTGCACTGGAGGAGCAAACACATTTATGCCATCTTCGGTGATCTAAAGCCATGTCACCAAGTCTGCATTCACCGATTCTTACCGTCTCTGGGACTTTGACAAGGGAACTTACACCTGCCTACTTGAATCAGGCCATCATTAGACTAATTCTACTCCAGCTAATAACCTTGTTTTATCGTATATATGATATCCAGGCATGTGCAACGTGTGCCAGACACTTTAACGGACGAAAACTGACAACTTTCGTCATACAGCTGGTCTACCTACTAAAAAAGTTGGCCACCAGTGAATGCATAGGAAAAAAACCAAATAAATTAGTAATATTTTGATTGAACACTAGTAACTAGTGTAATGCATCTAGTCCTTTGTTTAGTACAGAGTGAATTCTATCAGTCAGTCAGGTTTGCAATGTGGCCACCATTCTAGGTAGCAAGCTGTTGGTTTGTAGGGATTTGATTGGTTACAGAATTTCATCATCAGCTGACATTGTTTAGAGAACCATTGAAAAATCACTTGGGAGAGTACTGCACAGCTGTTTCGTCAGCCTAGTTTTGGACTCTTCAGTAGTATGCACCCACCGGGGTCCCAATCGGCAGAAGTTAGAATTCATGGGATGGCCATTGGATTGGGTCCCAGTGGCTTAATAGTATAAGAGGTCGCCTTGTAACCAGAAGGTCCTGGCTTCGAACCCCTTGGTGTGAGTGTGTACTGATGAAGAGTCCCAAACTAGGCTGACGGAACAGCTGTCCAGTACTCCCAAGTGGTTTTTCAATGGTTCTCTAACCAATGTCAGCTCATGATGAAAGAAATCCTGTGACTTCTTTACTAAGTTCACTAGTGTTAATGGGTACATTATTTTTTCACTTCTCAATATGATTTTCATTTTTTGAACATTTCTTATTTAATTAATAACGTTCCCACCTTTAGTATAGAAGTAACAAATGTAAAACAAATCACAGTGGAAAAAAAGCCAGTCTACCTTCAGCTTGATTATAAAGGTGAAAATATTGCAGCGATGATCAACAGAAGGCTCAGTACATCACTATCCATAGCTTATCCCGTCTATCGAACAACTTGCTCTTTGGTGCGATCAAAAATCAATAGATATCCTTCTCATGTTAACTGCAACTGCATATACAAATTTACATGTATCTGCGGTAGCGGTTACATTGGAAGGACAGAAAGAAAGTCATTCCTACGATTTTCTGAACATGTACCAAAAAGCTTACGTCTAAAGGGAACAAATGCTTTAAACAGTGCCATCACCAGGCATCTTCTCGACATGGGTCATGAGGTGGACGTCGAAAAGTCGTTCAAAATTATCAATAAGCAAAATAGCTCAATTCTCCCTAAGTTTGCTGAAGCCATTTGCATCAAGCTCCTGAAACCTGATTTATGCGTTCAGAAAGAAGCGGTTATCAGCCTTTCTTTGCCCTGGTAACTGGATAATTTCACCTCTCTTTCCTCCGAATGTGAAATGCTAAAAGTTTCCATTGTGTTTGATTATTATTGTTCGGAATAGTGGTTAATATTGCATATATATATATATATGTATATATTTTTAGTGTATGAGTATACTGATCGATTGATTTTTGTTTAAACTGAACTCTAAGCAAGTATGTTAAAATTGTTGTTGTAGATATATTTAATAATGTCTTTGCCATGTAAGCAGCTGACGAGAAGGCAACGAAATAAAAGATGGTACCATTTTATTCTGCTAAAACTGTAGTTCTTGCTTTGTTCAAACTCCTAGTTTATTTTGTTATTTTTATTTTAGTTATATAACTTACGAAATAGTGAATTGATTTCTGAACTCCCGTTATCCAATGCCTCGAATTATGAGGAGTCATCATCAACTAATTCCCGTTTACCGCTAGCACCTTATCAAGAGCATAACAGACAATATTCGAATATTCGAACATCCTGTGATAATGTCCACTCACCGTCATCATCATCATCGTCTGGTTCAATGAATCCAGAATTAAGAGGGACTAGTCAAAATGAAAACCAACTACAACTTGGTCCAGCTCGTTCATCTCAGGTGTTATTTGCTTTTGATCCAAGATTTGTCAATTCACGTATAGCAATCACAAATGTGGATTTCCCGCACACTGTGAATTCTCACAAGTCATCATCTAATTGGTTGCCTGGAATGCAAGCCACTTTAAGTTTGGTAAAACTTCCCACATGGGAGTGTTTAGCTTCAACGAATAAACTTTGTTCATGGTCACCATTATCAAATCGTACTGGACCATCGTATGTTGTTAACAACAATACTTCGTCTTCGACTTCAACGTCGACTAGAGAAACTGGTCGACGAAGACGTTCGTCAGATGCAAATCATCATGCTGGGAATTCACCGAATTCACCGAATACTTTCAGCAATACATTTCCACATGTTATGAGTATATTCTATTCAAGAGATGGTTATTTCTTATTCACAATCACTACAGAATCTCGTGTCTGTCGATGTTCTGTCATAGATAATCATAGCCATTCGGCGAACTCTTTGTTGTCGTCAGAAACATCCAGTTACGCGGATGATGTATGTCATACGCCTAATACATCTCGATTTTCATCAAATAGTACTACTACTGCTACTACTACTACTACTACAGAAAGTGGACGTAATCAACAGAGGGTGTTAAATTCAACTCAGTCGGTTGGTGAATCAACTTCACGTTACACGTCAAAGACAAATAATGCGTCATCGCCAATGTTAGCGCCTACACTTCCTGGTTGTACAACATTATGGTTGACAATATTTAATTCGGACACGCTAGAAAGGTTAAGAATTCTAAGATTTGATCGAGCTATATGTCCTATTCATACATGTCCTACAAATTATTTACCGGTGATGAGTCGGTGTGGAGCAAGGATAGCACTGATTACACGACAAACTGTAGGGTTGTATAATAATAATAGTTATAATAGTAATCAAAGTATCAATGTTAATTCACGTGAATGTCTGCTTTCTAGTTGTAAAAATATACCTGCATCTTTGAGACATTCTGTTCCATCAATAAATGTTGATGCCTGTTGTGATTCACAATGGGTCAGTACTAAAGGCAGTAGTCAAGAAATGAGTAAAGAAAATTCTGGCAGACGGGTGAGTCAGCGTTAGCTTTTCTTTTAACTCTTGTATAAATGTTTCTATCTAATTAGCAGTAAATAATTAGGCCCCATTCAGGCAGTGATCTGTGGTTCTAGTGGGAAGTCGTGACCAGTAGGGTACAGCAGGCTGAAGATGAGGCAGTAACACATCGAAGAAGAAGACAGTGCAAAATGGTCGCGCTATGTCGTGAATTAGCACAAGTTAGAATTCATGCACTGGGTCATTGAATCAGGTTCTAGTCGCTAAATGATCTACGAGTTATCTAGCCTTGTAACCAGAAGGTCGCCGTGATGTGGGTGCGTAATTCTGAAGAGTCCCAAACTAGGACGAAACAGATGTCCAGTACTCTCAGAATGGTTTTCCAATGGTTGTCTAACTGATGTCAGCGCATGATGAAATCCTCCATGCAATCAAATAATTAGGTTCAAAGTTGAACATAGGTCTTCAGTAGAGAATTTACATACCACACCGTCCTTTTCAGTCTTTTCTAGATGACCCGAACACTGTCCATAAGTTGTTATTTCCTTCTCACACAATTTCCTCTATGTCACTGTCGAGGAGGTGCTCATTACCATTCGGGTGCTACTCGACGACTTGCCGATTGCTCAACAAATATGTAGGAGAAAGTCAAGGTGGATCAGGAACACATTGAGGAATATTGGAATGGCCTCTGCGTAAGAATGACACGCTAAATCGTGAAGCGTTTCATATTCTTTAGCGCATCGGTGGCACAGCGGTAGAGTGCTCGCCCAGCATGCAGGTGGCCCGGAGTTCGATCCTCAGCCGCCGACGCACTCCTTTACCTCGCTAAGCCAGTAATAAGTCTAATAAAGATGGAAGTTTGGGCATGAGATGGCTAGCAGCAACTCCATCCTGTAAAAATAATCACCACTGCTGTAGAAACTTCAAGCTTCTAGCTTGAAGCCCTAAAACAGCAACAGCAGTATACAATAATAGTGGTCAGCTGAAAGAAGTTTCTGTTATAATCATATGGAAAAGATGTGATTGTTAGGGTAGTGAAGTTCTTATTTTGAAAATTTTCGAACCAATATTTACAATTTTACTCTCCTTTTTATATTGAGTTTTATTTCTTTTTTTTTCCTTCATGTTCCGCAGTGGAACATAGGGCTTCAAGCTAGTGGCTTGAAGTTTCTGTAACAGTGCTGATTATTTTTACAGGATGAGGTTGCTAGCCTCATGCCAAACCTTTCCTCTTCACCAGCTTTTATATCTGGCTTAGCGAGGTTTAGGAGTGCGTCACTGGCCGGGGATCGAACCCCGGACCATGTGTATGGTTGGCGAGCGTTCTAACCGCTGCGCCACCGACTCACTTTTTTTATTTCTTATGGTATCGAGTTAATTTATCAGATATAACCACCAATTAACAAACAACAAGCACGTTTAGGGTTAAATTTTTCTGCATTAAGTGATTGAAAATGCCCATTAAAATTTTCAAAAGAATGGATACTGAACAAAGAGTACTCTTTTCGATAACGCCTTCATCATCAGGCTCTACAGTTATATATACATTATAGTGAATGAATGAGTTAGTGTTATAAATAATAATAATAATTTTTCCTTCACGTTCCCAGTGGAACATAGGGCTTCAAGCTAGTGGCTTGAAGTTTCTTTAGCAATGTTTATTTTACAGGATAGGGTTACTAGCCTCATGCGAAACCTTTCCTCTTTACCAGCTATATTTCTGGTTTAGCGAGGTGAAGGAGTGCGTCGGTCAGGGATTGAACCCCGGACCATGTGTATGGTCGGCGAGCGTCCTAACCGCTATACCACCGACGCACAACAACAACAACATTAATGTTGCTTAGATAACATCGAATCAATAATAGTGATAGATTACAGCTCAGTAGCATCAACATGAAATAAGCTGAGTATCAGAAAGATAATATTACAAATTCATGAATTTATAGTCTCCAGTGAAGGCCAACCAGGGCAGTAGTAGTTGCTTCTTTTGAACACAGAGCACTGGTTGTTTGAGGCGACTTGCAATAGCCTCTGCTATTTGGAGCATGTGGTGCTTCGATGATTTTGGCAATTTATTAGGCACCTGGTAGATGACAGAGAAAGATTCTTCCAAGCTGGCTTTGTGACCGGTTTGCACAGAGATGATCCAATATCGGACTGTTAATGGTTTTCACTACACCTTTACTTAGCCACAGTGAGAGATGTTCTCGAGTGAGCACGAAAAATCAAGTTCCTAGAGCAACGGCCAATATAACTCTCTCCACCATCAGCGCAGTTGAATTGGTAGATACGATTAGAAGTGGCCAGCTGGTCTAGGTACTTCATCTTTCAATCAAGGAATCATCACCATCGGTCGTGTAGAGAATAAGACGTGTATTTCACCAGAGCATTAAAAGTTCTTTGAACTGATTTTCTTAATTTCTTCGTAATTATCTCACTTGGTATATCGCCCTTGAATTGTAGTCGTATATAAAGAGGCTTCTTGTTTACAGATAGTGAGTAGTCCTTTTCCGCTTTCTTTGTCATTTGTTTCATGATAAATTTGTCGGGATAGTCATTTTCGATTAAAGTATCATATACAATGCTTAATTCATCTTCAATTACTTCTTCTGAGCATATAGCTCTAACTAACCCTTTGGCTGAGGGTCTTCACTAAATTTCTTCTGTACTTGATAGGAATGAAGCCGTGAAAATATGTGTATATTGTCCTGTCTAAGTGCTCTTTCTATGCAAATTTCTTTTTATGCTACCATCTGGTTTTCTTGTAAGTAGGATATCCAGGAAGGCAGGCAATTCTGTTTTAGGATACCTTCTTCACATGTGAATTTCATAGCCGAATGTACTTCATTGAATTCAGTAATTATTCTACTCCTATCCTATCAGAACTATTATCTGTATTGTCTGGTCAAAGTTCATAGACTTGGAAATACAAGCAATTTGATTTTGTTTGTCTGTTAACATCACTGCAGTTGCATGCAGTAGCAAACCAGCTACTATACGCATGGTGTTTACTGGTTAAAAATGGTACTTGTCTGACTGAATTTCGGTACAATGAAATTGAAACACAGCTAAAAATTAAAATAAAATAAGTATATTGAATGACGTAATGTGATTGATGGCTGAGAGTTAACAACACTGATTATAAGGGGTAGGAACTTAATAGGCAGTAAGGGAAGAAAATAATACAATTAAAACACAAAAAGAATAAATTATGTATCCGGTGTTAAGACAGATGAGGTTCATTGTAGATTTGGTGACTGAACAAACTTCCTTTTGTATGCAGAGTTCAGGATTTAACAATGTGAATCGTCATTGCTTCTGTGATTTGAAGAAATCTGATTCGGTCACTTTCAGGAAAGTTCCGGCTGATTTTGTAAATGACTTCAAAGTTTGTTTACGGGTTACCTTAGTGTTTAGATTCGACCAGGTGTTCCAGAATGGAACTGCATCAGTGGGGATCCTTCTTCTCTTTTATAAATCGATGAGGATAAGTATTCAATGATATGTTTCCTTACCAAATACTGAGTATGGCCAATATAACTAGCTCTATTACAGTGGGTGAATTTATAGATGGATATTATTAAGGCTGGGAAAAACACTGATAATGTATCCTTTCCATTCATAGAAATTATTGCTTTGATAGAGAAAGTGATCGGAGTTTCAACTGAGAATAATATTCTTCTTAGTGAATGGGATGGTCGATTTCTGCCGGCGAGTCCAAATTGGACTGTAGGTTCTGGTAGCGAAGTACCCCCTACAGTCCTACAGGAGGTCAATCGCTGGGCAGCCCGAATAGCTCAGCGGTAACGTCTTTGACTGCTGACAGCACTGGGTGACACGGGTTGAATCTCAGAGGGAGGGACATGAGTTCCTTCAACATTACACATACTCCTTGCTGACTGGTGAGTGCCAACTAGCACGAAACCTAGGACAGGTAGGACTTCCTGTGTCTGATTGCCTCCAACTATGTAATATCATCAAATCAATGTGCACCGTGATGGCGAGCTACCCAGAGAACGGTGGTGACCTTGCAAACCTGACTGATAGAATTCAGTCTGCACCAAAGAAAGAACTAGACGCGTCACACTGGTTGCTGACTAATGTCCAATCAGAGAAGTCTTTTAGGAGCAAAAAGTGTGGGCGGAGATGAATAGCTTACACATTGATCAGATCGTAGAGTAACATCGCACACCAGACCCTTCAGTGGAACTCGAATGGGAGCAGGATGGGAAGGAGATGGAAGGACTTGTGGGAACAGGTAAGGAGGACCGCTGAGAACACAGTGAAATGGAGATAAGCTGTTGAAGCTTAATGCTCCATTTGAAACCCAAGAGAATATTGATCACAATAATATACATTGTTAGAGAGGAGTGTACCTGAGAAATTTGTTAACATCTTGAAAACCCTATACAGAAACACCTCAGGTAGAGTGAGGGCATACAACCAACTATCATCACTGTTCCCAACTAACAGTGTGGTTAGACAGGGTTGCCCAGTCTCTCCACTTCTCTTTAACTTTGTCATCGATGACATTCTGGAGTCAGCTCTGAAGGATGTGCGCGAAAGTGGTGTACATCTGCTGCATGGAGATAGAGTTTTCGACCTCGAATATGCAGACCATATCGTCTTACTGTGCGATAGCATGCAGGCTGCCCGAATCGCACTTAATCAGTAGACCATCAGTGTCTGTAAATGTGGTGTGTACTTTGCGCCGTCTAAGTGCAAAGTACTGTTACAACATTGGCAGGAGCCTGTACCTGCACTCACTGTTGCGGGTGAATCACTTGAAGTTGTTGATAAGTTTGTGTATCTGGGTAGTTGTGTGAGTGCTGGCGGAGGGGTGGTGACGGATGAGATTTCCAACCGTATAATGAAGGCTAGGGTGGGGCACACATCAACTTGAGCTACCACCTCTGGCACTGTCGCGACGTTAGCCTGGCTGTTAAAGGTCGGGTATACAATGCTCGGTGCGGGCTGTCTTGCTCTACGCCAGACCTGTGAAACCTGGCCTCTCTGAGCTGAGGATGTGCGGCGACTCTGCATGTCCGATCATTGATGTCTCCGCAGGATTGCTTGCGTTCGATGGGATCATCGCGTGAGTAATTCTGAGGTTCAGCGGTGTGTGTTATCTGGAAACACCGGCTCCGGTGGCTTGAACATGTGTTGCGAATATCATCCCAGAGGCTTTCGTACTGGTCTTTGTTCGCTTTCCAGCCCTGAGACGGGATGGAAAAGGCGGAGAGGTGGTCAATCCATGACGTGGCGTCGTAGGAAGAAGGATTTTTGTGCTAGATTAGCATCGGTTAGTGTGTCAAGACTCCCTGGTTGGGGTCCGCAAGATAGCTCGAATTGACGGTGGCTCAAAACGTTATCGGATATGGCCAAGAATCGCAGTCATCAATGGCGAACGTGTTGCAATTTCCTTCTTTCTTTCCTTCCCGATGATAGTTAACGAATACTGTTTGAATGAACTTGTTAAGTATGACTATTTTTCTTCCAGATGAAGTTCTTTATCCGTTCTCTACTTATATTTTTCTTTTACTTTTGGTCTATGTTGTTTTATTATTATTATTACTGTGTGGCGCATCTTTCTTTGGTGCCATACTGTACCAAGTTTTTTCTGCTTTTATATAAATAAATAATAATAATATACATTGCTCAACTGCTTTTATAATCTCCTATTTAATTTTACTATTTTATTTCTATTTCTCCTTTTTCTTAGAATGAATTAAAGAAACAACAAGCAATCAATTCACAAGCTTATATATTCAATCAACCAAGAAATTTAAATCTAAGTCATCATCTTTCAACTTCTCTACCTTCACCATTGTCAAAAGTTCATTTGTCTTCCGGTAGTGGTGGTGGTGGTGGTGGTAATTCACCATTCAACAAACAACAAATCACTGGTTGTTCAACATCAGAGTTAACGTCTGCTGCTACTCCCACCGCCGCCGGTGTCACCACTTCCTCTTCTCAGCATCGTCCTATGACTACATCATCTTTTGATTCATCATTCATTAGTAGTAGTAGTAGTAGTAGTAGTCGTTATCATTCTTCTTCTGTAAATCCTAGTGGTACAACTGTGACTACTCCTACTCCTACTACTACTACTAATAATAATAATTATAGTGGAGTTATTAATATCAGCAATACAATGACAAATCCATCCGTACAAATTGATGTACTCCTTGTGTATCAACTACCTCCACCGCCTAAACTACAAGCGTTAGCTAGACAAAGAATTCGTCAAGTAAGGAGAAATTTTAGCCTCTTTTGAAATTTATAATTATTATTATTTTTTGTAAATTAAAACATTAACCATTCAGAGAGTATTGGACAGGTGTTTCGTCAGCCTAGTTTGAGACTCTTCATCAGTACGCATTCACACCATGCGGTTCAAACTCAGGACCTTCTGATTACAAGGCTAGCGAACTCGTAGACCATTAAGTCACTAGCACCCAGCCAAATCCAGTGGCCCATGAATATATATATATATATTGCTTAAAACATCGTTTACGGTAAACTTTTTTTTTCCTTCACGTTCCCAGTGGAACATAGGGCTTCAAGCTAGTGACTTGAAGATTCTGTAGCAGTGTTTAATTTCACAGGATGGGGTTGCTAGCCCCATGCCCAACCTTTCCTCTTTACCAGCTTTACTTCTGGTTGAGTGAGGTGAAGGAGTGCGCCGGCCGGGGATCGAACCCCGGACCATAAGCATGGTCGGCAAGCGTTCTAACCGCTGCGCCACCGAAGCACAAACTAACTAACGTTTTATAAGCCATTTTTATACTTTTGTGAGTGGCCCACCGTATCGACCAAATGTAATGCAACACTCAGTTGTTAGGCACATTTTCGACAAATTCTAACAATATGGTGTCTAGGATTATATCATATAAATTGTTTTAACTTATACAAAGTGTGTTTACTATCATTATTCCATTATCCTCCCTTGTATATGTATATATATCTTGTGTTAGTGAAAAATTTTAAACATGCCTACTCCATGTGTACATTATTATCATATTGATGGTGCCTGTCAACTGGAGTCCCTCATGTGCGAATATATATAAAATTATAAGATGCATTTCATTGTTGTATGAGGGAATTGACTTCAGGCTTTATTTATTTTTTGCTAAGTATCTGTAATCCATCCAACGAATACTCGGGTTTGTTTTTGTTAACGCGATGTCAATATCTCTATATTTCTTAATGTGGTCCATTGAATCACTAGTTATCACATTGTTCCCACAAACCAAAGACAAAAAGACAGCAACCGTGTAATTTAACCATTAACCAAATTTATGCAATTTAAATAATACTTATCCATACAATTGGTGGATGGTGGCTAGCAGTGGAATCCAGGATGCGCATTTCGTCCTATTTGGGACTCGTCAGCTGGATGTACCTGCATTTCTCAGTGAGTGATGATGTTCCCACCGAGGCTCGAACCCAGTGCCCATAGTTTCGAACGCCAAAGCGTTATCCACCAGACCACTTGGGCCACGGGAGCTACCTCTTGTGCAACGGGTCATATTAATTATTGAATTGAATTCTTGATTTTCCCGTCGATTGATTGGACCGAAGTGCTCGGTCTCAGGTTGACATGTCGGCTTCTTGTTCAGATGCTTCGACTATGTCCGGGCATTTAGTTAGTATACAATTGGTGGATGGTGGCTAGCAGTGGAATCCAGGATGAGCATTTCGTCCTATTTGGAACTCGTCAGCTGGATATACCTGCAATTCAATAATACTTATCCATGCCTGTACAACTGGCGTGTGTCCTACATAGGTAGGAATAAATATGTGTACCTTATTATAATTACTAAATATGCTTACTAATCGTAAATGTAATTTACCATGTACAAAAATGAGAATGTATTATTATTATTATTAATTCTAACTTTTGCCATTTCATCACATAGCGGTCACTTCACAGTGTGTTTTTCTTCTATGGGTTACTGCCTCACCTTCAACATGCTGCACACTACTGGTTACGGCTTCCCACTAGAACCCCAGGCAACTGTCTGAATAGGACATCAGTAGCTAGTGAGCATCAGGTCAATTTTTCCAAATATTGGCTCTTTGTGGGGATTTAGTTTGATTGGTTGAATGATTTCATCATGAGTTGACACTAGTTAGAGAACCATCGGAAAACCAGCCAATGAGTACTGAGCAGCTGTTTCGTCAGCCTAGTTCGGGACTTTCCATCAGTACACTTCTACCGATTCGTGATTTTTAGCGGTAAAATCACAACGAGACAGCTACCATCTGGCACTCTGTCCTGGTTTTCAATGGTTCTATAACTGATATCAATCCTCCGGGCAAAGTCAATACTGCTAATAATTCTCTCTTGCATACATTTATTCCCCTTAATGAATTTGAACAAAACGAGAACTACAGTAGTTTTTGCAGAATAAAATGGTACCATCTTTTATTTCATCGCCTTCTCGTCAGCTGCTTACAGGCCAAAGACATTATTAAATATATCTACAAAAACAATTCTAACATACTTGCCCACAGAGTTCATTTTGAACAAAAATCAATCAATCGATCAATATATGCATACAGTAATTACATATATATATATATATTGATGTGGTTTTGTTCTCTGAGCTGGATGGTTAGTTTGCGAAGCTTTCATCACCTTACTGGGTGACATCTTCAGCGCATACTTCAATTTGAAGTGAGCTTTTAGATTTCTCCACGAGTTTATTAATCATCTCTCCTGGTGACCTTGGACGTGATTAGTTGTTTATGTGTTAGAAGCTTGGCATTCCAGTGGATCATCAATCAATAGACACATCGACATAGACAAAATTTATCAACCAATAAGAAAGAAACTTCACACACAAAGAGTCAAAGTTCAAGTCAAAGAAACAACCGGTTCCAATACAAGTAGCAGCATAGAAGGTGTGAAAACACACACAAACAACCAATCACGTCCAAGGTCACCAGGAGAGATGATTAATAAACTCGTGGAGAAATCTAAAAGCTCACTTCAAATTGAAGTGTGCGCTGAAGATGTCACCCAGTAAGGTGATGAAAGCTTCGCAAACTAACCATCCAGCTCAGAGAACAAAACCACATCAAAATCATCCACCTGAGCTACAAATCTTCTCTATCACATATATATATATATATATATATATATATGCAATATTAGATTGAAACGTGGTCTAGTCAAGACTATACTATAGAGCGGGGAGAAAATGCTCTATAGAGAAATTAGAGGAAGAATTTGAGTTTCTTGGAAAGATATTGAGGAGCAATGGATACCCTCAAAGATTCATCAAGAAGTATGGAAGATATGAAGTCACAAATGTAAAACAAATCACAGTGGGTAAAAAGCCAATCTGCTGCATTCAGCTTGATTATAAAGGTGAAAACATTACAGCAATGTTTAACAGAAGGCTGAGTACATCACTAGCCATAGCCTATCCTGCAGCTAAGCTCGTCCTCGTCTATCGAACAACTTGGTCTTTGGTGAAGTCAAAAATCGATAGATATCTTTCTCATGTTAACAACTCCAACTGTATATGCAAATTTACACGTATCTGTGGGAGCAGTTACACGGGAAGGACAGAAAGAAGGGCATAACTCAGATTTTCTGAACATGTACCAGAAAGCCTATGTCCAAAGGGAATAAATGTTTTGAACAGTGCCATCGACAGACATCTCCTTGACGCGGGTCATGAGGTGGACTTCGTGAGATGGTTCAAAACTATGAATAGGCAAAAGAGTCCAATTCTCTTTAAGTTTGCTGAAGCCATCTCCATCGGGCACCTGAAACCTGATTTATACGTCCAGAAAGAAGCGGTTGTCAGTCTTTCTTTACCCTGGTAACTGGATATTTTTCATCTCTCATCCGGATGCGAAGTGCTGAAAAGTTTCCATTATGTATGATCATCATTGTTCGGAATAGTGTTCAATATTGCATATATATGTATATATTATTACTGTATGCATATGTTGATCGATTGGTTGATTTTTGTTCAAAATGAACTCTGTGGGCAAGTATGTTAGAATTGTTTTTGTAGATATATTTAATAATGTCTTTGGCCTGTAAGCAGCTGACGAGAAGGCGATGAAATAAAAGATGGTACCATTTTATTCTGCAAAATCTGTAGTTCTTGCTTTGTTCAAATTCTATCTTGGCTAAAATAGTAATTAAATGCCTCAAGACGTAAGGTAAAAGGGAAGATTGCCGACGTCTAAATCAAAAATGTCTATGGCTGTTCTTCTTGTTCTTGTTCTTCGCTTTATGGATTCTGCTCACTGGCAACTGGCCCTATTCAGGTAGGTAGTTACCTGGGTTCCAGTGGGAAGTCGTGACCAGTAGGGTGCAGCAGGTCGGGTGTGGGGATAAATACTCGCCGAAGACATTGGCTAGCGGTCGCGCTATGTCGTGAATTGGGAGAAGTTAGGATTCAAGGACCATTGGATCGGGTCCCAGTGGCTTAACGGTATACGAGCTCGCCTTGTAACCGTAAGGTCGTGGGTTCAAACTGCGTGTTGTGGGTGCGTACTGCTGAAGAGTCCCAAACTAGGCTGACGGAACAGCTGTCCAGTACTCCCAAGTGGTTTTTCAATGGTTCTCTAACTAATGTCAGCTCATGATGAAATCCTGAAACCAACCAAATCCCTACAAACCAACACTCAGATTCCGATAGTATTTATTTAAGAAAGCAAAGCACATGTGTTGCCGATTGTTGATTATAAAGGGCGAAAGAAATACTTTAATTTTTGAAAAAAGTTATAATTATATATGCTGGTATTTTTTTTATGAAAAAACAACACTTTTTCATTTGTCTTTTCAAAGGATTCAGCTATGGCATATGTTCTTAATAATTTTATGTCTTGAGGCATATTTGTAAGCCTACATTTTAGGTACAGATACATTTTGCTTTCATTTGGAAGTAATATAACTTCGCTTTTGTGTTAAACGTAAATATCAACTGCAAGGTTGTTAAAAGATAGTTGAATATCATCAAAATATTTTGGTCAAATATTGAAATAATAGAGAAGATTTGTAGTTCAGGTGAATGGTATTGAATCATTTGTGTTCTGTGAGCTGGTTGAAGATTTATTTGTGAAGCTTTCGTCGTCCTCTAAAGTATAGACGACATCTTCAGAGCAGGTTTCAGTATGAAGTCTGAACTCATTTGAATTCTTGATGAATGAGCTCGTCTTGTAACCAGAAGGTCCTGGGTTTGAACCCCGGTGGGTGCGTACTGCTGAAGAGTCCTAAACTAGGCTACCGAAACAGCTGTCCAGTACTCCCAGCTAGTTTTCCAATGCTTCTCTAACTAATGTCAGCTCATGGTGAAAGCCTGTAACCAATCAACCAAATCCCTACAAACCAATGCTTGAATGACGATATAATTCTATCTCTTGGCAAAAACACCTTCGTGACTGGTAGTTGATTCACATTTCTATTGATCATATTTTTATTGATTTGAAGTTCAAACTTTCTTGTCACGTGATTTACTTTTTATTAGCAGCTGGTAAATTTGATCTAGATTAATATGTTTGCTAACTGCTAATTCATTTGAATAACAATACCGTCGATGGAACAGTGGTTTGGACTCTCGCTGACCATGCACATGGTCCAAAGTTCAATCCCCTGCCGACGCACACCTGATATCAATGGTCGGCCTGCAAAATTTAGACTACCGATTTCACATGCTGAAAATTCCATTCTTGTACCAAAAATACAGTATGGAATCAAGCTGTAATAAAAAAAAATAAATATTATTATTTCCTTCAGCCGTACGTTTTCCGTTCCGTTCGGTTTTCTGCCAACGTTTTCACCTGGCTCCAAGTCTGCCCACATGCTTTCATTTCCTCTTCACATGACCTCCTCCATGTCACCTTGACACTGACGACTAACTCGCTGCTTCCCATTCAGGTTCCACTCGGGGTTGGCCAATCCACTTCCATTTCTTCCTGGATATATGTTGCACAATCAGCTCCTACTAGGTTGGTTTGCTCATTGCCAGAGATCCCTCACTGTTGCTGATCTTTTCTGGCCGGTCATCTGATCTTGAGTATTGGTGCGCACGTTCCATGTCCCCACACAGACTTTTTCTTTTGGCTCAAGGAGATTCGTCGTGCTGAAGTTTCTGTAGCAACTTTGTTTACAGGGTGGGGTTGCTAGCCTCACTCCCGAGAAGGTGAAGTGTTACATTAAAATATAGTTTAGAGACAAGCGACCTTGTGGGTTGCTCCTCTTAAAACCAGGAAAACAAGGAATAAAACAATCAGAACAACACCAGCTATAGGAAGAATAATTCACAGCAAAAAGGGCAGCAAGCGGCAACAACAATACAATACAACAACATACAATACAGTTAAGCACAGTTAACTAAAATGATACCAAAATCATAGACTCACTGACTTGAACCAACTTGAACATGTAAATCCATCAATATATATATATATATATATATATAGAATTATAGATATTGGTTAGTGTTAGACAAGCACAAAGTGGCAAACAGATAATTATAGGTATTATCTTCAACAAGATTATATCCACAGATTCAGTGTTCGAAAGGCAAATAATTGCAATAATTTTTGCAACTTTTTGGCAAGAAATTCCCAGAAATAAGAGTTTTCATTTGAATATCAGGCTTCTAGAAATTCTCTAGTATTGCTGTAGGTGTTTCGTTTATTTGAATTTTCTACATTATTCCGATCAAATTGCTGTCCATAATTATCTACATGCATTGATACGAAAGAATGTACATCATGCCCTTTTTATAGCTAATTTGTGTTCTTGGATTCTGAGTCGAAGGGGACGCCCACTCTGACCGATGTGATGTTTTTCATTGCAGTTCATGCATGCAATTTATTTTGTAAATGGTATTAATTTTATCTTCTTTTCCTGTACGATCTTTCGGTTTGCACAATATCCATGAATGAAGTGATTGTGCTAGCCGGCTAGCTGACTTGTGTGCTATATCTATTTCAAACGGTTTCAATATTCTACTGTTATTTTGGGGGATATTTTTTATATATGATAGGATGAATTTTATTGTAGTCTTTGATGACGGTTCCTTATTGGTGTTATGACTCGAGTTTAAACACTTTTTGATGAAATTGTGAGGAGGATATCCATTCTGTTTGAAGACGGTTATAGAAGGTAGTTTTCCCTCTATTCTCTTCAACACCACATTAGTGCTACAATTTGTCTGGACTCTGCATACTTACTTTACTTTACTTCGGCTATCTCCTACGGGAGGATGAGCCGGCTTCATGAACCATGAAGTTTCATGGGAATTGGGTACGAGTGATGTCCCCAGGATCGCTCGGCCTTTTGTTTGAGAGTGCAGCTCTAGCCTTTACACAACCAAGTGTGACCTACAAGGCAGTAGGAGTGGAGTAGGGAGTCCACTATCCATTGGCAGCCGGTGACTGGAGTCCGATTCATACGCCTTTTTGAATGGGGCCAGTCATCCAGGGCATCCAACAAGCCCTTTGTCCATACGTCTCCCGGTGAGCTCCGGTGAGCTTCATACGCCAGTTGTTGGAGGTTTGGAATCAGGGTTTAGCCATCTCCCCTAGACTGTCATCCAATGGACAGTCAACCCGGTGAAGAGCGCCGGGCATCCGCTTTTGCCCTCTCACTTCGGTGAAAAAAAACACCTCCGCCACGTGAAGGCAGTGAGTAGGACTTCCTCAGGAGAGGCTATGTAAGACGCCCAGTCATATGGGAGCATTTCAAGAGGTGTACGGAGGGGTGGCCAACCCGCAGCGCAAAACACCCACCCCCGACCATCCTGAGGCTTTGGAGGCATACAGTTTCTTTTGTGAGTAATCGGGTTATTACTACTATATTTGACTAGTCAGTCTTTGTGCGTTGACTGTCTGTATGCTTGTGTTTCTAAATTTCCTGTGTTAGTTCTCCTCTTGATAAAGACATCTAAAAATGAAAATTTCACTGTATAATTCTTCTTCTCTGGTGAAGTTGATATCTTCAGGTATAGTGTTTATTAATTTTTGAGTATACTTCAATTCACTCATCAATAGACATGCAAATCAGATACCAGTAACGAAGATGGTTGCTAGGAGACACAATTATATTATCATTCATGGAGAATTCAAATGAATTCATTATATACTAATAATCTACTCTGAAGAAGTTGTCTATACCGGGGGGAGACAACGAAAGCTTCACAATTAAATCTGCAACACAGTTCAGAGAACACAACTAATTCAAAGTTAAATCAACTTCTCAATTTGCAAGTGAATTTTATGATTTACAAAAAATTCAAGGAAGTGAAATTTCGCCAAAGTTCCCTTCAATAAAGGAAATCCGGGGGTTTGAAATCGTTGGGCCCTCAGAACTGATTAATCAGACTAGGCACACTTCTGTTAATCTCAGCTGCAAACGAACGAAACTGAGTCCGGTATTTGAATCACTTCGATTATCTGACTGGCTAGCAAGCACACTGCTGGTGGATATCTGAATGGTGTCCAACTAGGCTTCCTTTTTTAAGTTCTTATTTATGTTGGCATCAAAAACAGATCACATATACTTTTGATTGGACAATAGTTAGTAACTCGTGTAATGTGTCTAGTCCTATTTTTGGTGCAGATTGATTTCTGTCAGTCACGTTGACAACGTGGCCACCATGCCACATGGCTCACCATCACGGTGCACTGTGACTTGTTGGAGGCAATCAGCCACAGGAAGCCCTACCTGATTGGTTTAGATTTCGTGCTATTTGGCACTCACCAGTCAGCAAGGCGTATCTGAAAGCATACAGATGAGCGTTATTCAAATAGCGTCTATGCCGAGAGATTGGTTAGTCGATTCCTTTAAGAAATATCAATAGAAACAAGTTGTCATCTGAAGTGGTGACAACTAGTGGTGTGCGCCAGGGATGCCCATTATTCCCATTCCTATTCAACTTCATCATAGATGTATTGATGGACTTAACCCTAACTCAATTCAGAGACACAGGGATTGACTTGCTACCAGGAAATAATTTCACTGACTTAGAATATGCAAACGATATAGTCCTTCTAGGCGAGGAGGCTGACAAAATGCAGAGTCTTCTGAACACCTTGAGCTGCAATCTACGAATGTTTGGCATGCGATTTACTCCCGCCAAATGCAACATGATGCTACAGGACTGGACTACACCGACTCCTAGTTTAGAAATAGGAAGTGAAGTGATAGAGCGCGTTGACCGCTTCACTTATTTGGGAAGTACCATCATCCAGTGCCAATGGGTTGATCTCTGACAAAATCTCCGCACAGATACAGAGGGCTAGTTTTGAATATGCCAGTTTACACCGTCTCTGGCGTGTATTGCTTCTCAGTCCGCTCCGTCCTCCTTTATGGCTGTGAGACCTGGCCATTGAGAATGGAGGACATGAAAAGATTATCTGTCTTTGATCGTAGATGCCTGCGTTCTGTCTCCCGTGGGAAGTGGTATAATAAGGTGAGCAATATTGAGGTTAGGCGTCGAATGATACGTGAGGAAGGGAAATCAATCGACGAAGCTGTCAAGCTACATCAACTGAGATGGTTAGGGCATGTGTTACGTATGTCTAGTCATCGCCTTCCTCGACGGGCAATGTTAGCTGACATAGGATCAGGTTGGAAAAGAGCGGTCAAACCAAAAGATGGCACCAGTCAATGAAATCCACAACACTTAGTCTAAGCCATGTAGGAAGGTGTAAACTTCCTGGTCGGTTGGGGTCCTCGGGACGGTAAAAACCATTGGTGATATGGCTCACAGTCGTTTTCAATGAATGGCACAGATTCAACCACTCCTTGTAACTTATGATTTCCAATGTAAGTATATTGTTCTTCGTTATTACTATTTCTTTGTCTCATACCTCTGTTTACTGTCTCTATTATGCATTTCTTCTAATTTATTCTCTTTCTCTGTTTGCTATATGGAGGGAGTGTGGCGACTTGAACTACTGCACATCGGTGCAAAGTTCTATGTCGAAAACAGGCAGACAGACAGATCAACAGAAAACTTTCCGGGTAGACATATAAGAAGTAATCGTTCATTGCATAAACTTTGTCAATTTTCTATTTTGTTGTTGTTGTCGTTGTTATTGTGATTACAATCGTTAAACAACTTCATTATTTGTCTCCTCCTTTTGTATATAAAGCTTTGCAAAGATGAACACCTAGAACACTTAGATCTCCCGCGTAGAATTATCAGCTATTTACGCTTTGAACCATCGTATACATGTGCTGGATCATGTTTCTCAAGATCAAATAGTTCTACACGGACAATAAGAAGTGATAGTTTTGACCTATAATACAGGATTACTTGGTGTGAGATGGGTGTGGGGGGTGGGAATGAAGTAGTCCATCTTGCTTGCTTGCTTGCTTGGATGAATGAATGAACAGTACTCACTACCAGTGTACTATTTCTTCTCTTTCTTGTACTATGCTGCGCGGAATGTTATCTGTCCATCAGTCTCCTTTTAAAACTCTCTCACACACACGCACATATACATACAAACATACCTACATACATACACGTATTATCGCAGTCGACATTCTAGGATGATTATAACTGGGTAGGTAATTTCGCCTTCCATCGTTCTTTTCTATTATTTTTATTATTCTTGTTGTTTGCTGGCAGAAACTACCGTCTTTTTCCCCTTCCATCGCACCCCAATGATATCCTAATAATGACATCCTTAGGAGGAGATATCCTGGATATTGCAGGATATTACAGAGCTTTTGGTTCCCCTCAAATTTTTGTACTCAGTTATTTCGATTATCGCTTCTTTTTTCCTTGAGTGTTGTTGTTGTTGCCCTTTCCCTTTCTTTCCCTCTTACTTTCAAACTGTGTTGTGCAATCACCAGCCCTGCTGATGCCTGAATACACTCAACACACTACATCGCCTGATTGTTTACGCACAGAAAAAAAATATTGTTACTTTTTTGTATTTTCTCTGTTTTTTATTTGAGAATTTTATATACATTTGTATACATATTTCACCTCCAAGCCCCGCTACTCCCGGTCCCTTGTCATTTGTCTCTTGATCGATTGAATTCTAAGGTATAAATCATGCCATGAATACTATTCATTCATTGTACTCATTACTAATTGATGGGGTTATCATCATTCTATGCTGTGTGTATTCATAAATTGTTCCTTCCCCGTGTGAAGGATTGCTATTCCTCTCCTTAGAATTCTATTGCTATTACTATTATTCTCATCATTCTGTACCCTGTGATCAATCGTCTGTGTTTTTGAAATGTGTACAGCAAAAGAAAAAATAATATTTCCCAGTGTTTGAAAAAAAAACTCAATAATTTCATTTTGTCTTTCGTATATATATATATTTTCGTGATTTTCTTTTGAAAATTCGCCCCTTCTTTTTTGTATGTCGATGTGTGTGTGTGTTTGTATGACGACAGCTCTTACTTTTTGTCTGCTCTACACAATATATATATATATATATATATATATATATATGTATAGGTTAACTAATAACATTTGCTTCTGGTCTTTTTCTTTGCTGATTTGTTTTGAGTTCTGGGTGAAAAATAGGGCTTCAAGCCCTAGCTCGGGGTCTTACTGCTAGCAGTAGTGGTGTGGTGAGAGCAGGCTGCTAGCCAATTGGTAGACATTAATCTACGTCAATGTCTAGGTCACTAATATTGGCCGTGAGAAAATATGAACAAGGCTGATTCAACAACCAATCACAGCAGACCTCACGTGGGCAAATATAATTCGCAGATAGATGGCTCCACTTTCCGAGAAAACCCGAAACAACCAATCAGAAGACTGCGTTTGTTTACTTGAATAAGCTATAACAATGCATATGAAATATATATAAATACGTGTTGATTTCCGTAATAAAACGATCTGTTGCCGGCCCTTGTCTTCTGTTGTTACATTCGGTGTCGCTGCCTCCAAAAATGAAGATCCCATGGCCAACTGCGTTTGAAGAAGGAGACATACGGAGCTTCTTACGTGACTTCGAGGCCGTTGCTGAGCTGGTGGGTGTCAAGGAGCAGGCGGCGAAGGCAGTTGTCCTGGGGACGCTGTTGAGAGGCCGAGCGAAGGCTGCATATGACAGCGTAGACAGGTCAAATGGCACAGCGTCTTGGAAGAAATTGGTTGAACGACTAGTGTCCGAGTTTGACAGCGAAACAGACAGACAGCTAGCAATGCAGCAGTTCCGGTCAATGAAGCTTGGACCTGATGGAGACCCGCTAGTGTTGGCGGTGAAACTGACTAATCTACTTCGACGCGCGCTTCCCACTTTAGATGAAGAATCAGAAGCGCAGTTACTGTCTTCCCAATTCATCGAGAGTGTCCCAGACCACATTTCTCAGCGATTACAACTGGTTAACGCAACGCAGCCGATGGATATTAGTGAGCTGGCGAAGGTGACCAGACAGCTGCTGAGCACAACGGTAGCCGCTATAGACCAACCAAAACCAAACGAATATGAGCAGAAAATTGAAGCATTGCAGCGGGAAGTGGCGGCGTTAAAGTTGGCTGATAGAAAAGACCGGTGTTTTGAATGCGGTAAGCCGGGACACTGGAGAAGATACTGCCCAGAAAGGCGAAAAAGAAAAAATTTCAGACGGTATAATGCTTGTTCTTTCTTTCGTATGAACCTAGATTTAGTGGGGGCTATTGAGAAAGGGGCTCTGTATTCGAAGTTGCGAGTGAATGATCGAGAAGTAGTATGTTTGATAGATACAGGGGCGGCCGTGTCGTTAATAGATAAGAATTTATGTAAGAGTGTTAGTCCGTGTTCATTGACAGTACAAACAGTAGGCGGGTATGTGTTGCGTATCACGGGTAGATCGAACTGTACGGTCGTTGTTGGTGGCTGCGAGGTGACGTTTCCTTTCATTGTTGTACCCGAACTACAGCGAACGATATTAGGAGCGGATTTTCTGCGTGAGATTGGTGCAATAATCGACACGCAAGCGAACGTGGTGATCACGAAATACGGGCATATCAACATGTATGAGACCAGCGAGATAGCAGCGATTAAGCTGTCGACGGTACACAATGTGACAGAGTTAATTAATAAATACGATCATCTGTTCACTGGAGATGGCGACCCATACGGTTATTGCGATAAGGTGAATCATGAAATTCCGTTAAGTGATCCGAAAGTAAGGTCATTTACAACGCGAAGAGTTCCATGTCATCTGGAAGGCGAAGTGGAGCGACAAGTGCAAGAGATGTTAAAAGATGATATTATTGAGGAAGCTGATAGCCCGTACAACTCTCCAGTGCTGTTAGTAAAAAAAGCGAATGGGAAGTATAGATTCTGTGTTGATTTTCGACAGTTAAACAGTATGACAGAGTTAAGACCGTGTGCCATGCCAACAGTGGTAGAAACTTTAGATCGCCTACAAGGTGCGAATGTGTTTTCGGTTCTCGATCTTCGCTCAGGATACTGGCAGATACCGATAAAACAAGGTGATAGAGATAAGACGGCTTTCATCGTGGGTCAGACACAATATCGATTTAAACGCATGCCGTTTGGACTAGCAGGTGCACCGTTTACGTTCAGACGACTGATGAAGCTATTACTTAAGAACTTGAAAAACGTGGAGGTTTATGGTGATGATCTCGTCATATACAGTCAAAACGAAAACGATCACGTCAACCATGTAGAAGCCGTGCTGCGACGCATCGAAGAGTTTGGACTACGCGTCAACAAAACCAAGTCCAGATAGCCAAAAAGAATGTTACTCTGTTGGGACATAAAGTGGGAAATGGTGAGATTAAACCACTGCCGGAGAAAATTTTGACGATTAAAACGATTCCAGCCCCGAATTCAAAGAGAAAACTGAGACAATTCTTGGGTAGAGCAGCGTTTTATAGTCGCTTCGTGAAGAACTTCAATGAGATAGCAGCCCCTCTATACAGGCTACTAGGTGAGCCAAAGTTTGTTTGGTCGGAAGAATCGCAGAGGACATTCGACAGAATTAAACAGCTGCTCGACCACCAACAAATGACGCTAAAACTACCTGTGCCAGGAAGACAGTTCACAGTGTGCACAGATGCCAGTGACTACGCTATAGGTGCGGTCCTAAGACAGGACGAGGGAATCGTTGAGTATGCCAGTAGGGTTTTGACACTCACAGAGAGAAAGTATTCAACGATAGAGAAAGAATGTTTAGCAATGGTATGGGCAGTCGACAAATGGAGACCTTATTTACTCGGCCGGCGGTTCCACATCGAAACTGATCATAAGCCGCTACAATTTTTGAAGACAGCGAGAGACCCACGGGGGAAGTTGTCACGGTGGATGTTGCGTCTTCAGGAGTACGATTTTACGATCTCACACGTTCCTGGAAGTGAAAATGTCTTGGCAGATTTGTTATCGAGACCAGAAGATGAGTCTGAGTTGCCCGAGGTCGCTTACGGAGTGCATGCAGTAGAACAAGACCCACTAAGACTTGCACGTAGGCAGAGGTTGGACGATACGCTGAATACAGTAATACAGGTGATCACCAACGGAATAGAAGTGGATCAAACTACGGCGAGTAAGGAGCTAACCACACTACTCAGACAGAGGGATCGACTCAGAGTGAATGCCTACGGGACTCTGACCTGGCGAGAGAACGACGGAAGCTGGCTGGCTGTCATACCTCAATCGTCGCGCCACGACATGATAGAAGAATGTCACCAGCTAGCGCATACAGGCGTGGCCAGAACGACCGACCTCCTAAGACAAAGTATGTACTGGCCAGGTATGAGAGAAGACGTAGCAAGATACGTACTTGGATGTCCACGGTGCCAGCTGATGAAAGGTGACCGGTGATACGACCACCACTTCAGTCGATTCCAGTTACCGCGATAGGTGACTTGTGGTCCGTAGATGTCATGGGTCCATTTCCTCAGACATCCAATGGTAATCAGTACCTCTTGGTGATGACGGAACACGCGACACGATGGGTAGACGCCGTAGCAATCCCAGACCAACGTGCAAGAACCGTGACAGATGCAGTAGTTAGACACATTGTTGCAGACCACGGCGTACCGAAGACAATACTGACAGACCAAGGTCCCTGTTTCGAGAGTGAAGAGTTTACTTCCCGTTTGCAACAGCTGGGCATCAAGAGGATCAGAACGACCCCATACCATCCACAAACGAATGGCCTAACGGAGAGAAACAACCGTACACTGAAGGAGTGGCTGGCCTCGAAGGGCGGGAACTGGGAAACGGAGCTTCCACTGATTTTACTAACACATCGGGCTACCACTCAGGAAACAACGAAGAAGTCACCCTTCCAACTGATGTATGGTAGAAAACCACGATTACCGGTACACAATGAGACCTGGCCCATGCACCAAAAGTGGAGTACGACGAAATTAAAAGCAGAGAGGAAAGAGGCAGTCAAGAATGTAATACGGAAGCAGCGCAGTGATGTCGCGAAGTCTCAGATGAAAGAAAGGACGCAGTGCATTACCTTTGCAGTCGGGGACCAAGTGAAGTGTAGAGACAGGAGATATACAGTTGGAGGCGGGCTAGGTTCACGGAAACTCCTTCCAAAGTGGGAAGGACCATACACAATCACAAAAAGACGGGGTCAAGTATATACCATCCGAAGAGGTGATAAACAGAAACGAGTTAACGCCAGTCAGCTCCAAAGATGGGTACAGTGGGACAAGCCGGTCAGTAACAATCCTCAACTAGAGGATGTAGCACCCAGAAGGTCGGAACGTCTGCGCACGAAGCTATTTGACGGGGGGACGAGTGTGGTGAGAGCAGGCTGCTAGCCGATTGGTTGGCACTAATCTACGTTAATGTCTAGGTCACTAATATGGGCCGTGAGAAAATATGAACAAGGCTGATTTAACAACCGATCACAGCAGACTTAACGCCTATATTTTCCACTCGAACGATAAAGTTATGTATAAATATATTACAAAGAAAAGTCGATTCAACAGAAATTATGTAAAATGTGTAGGTTTTTTGACATTTAGCAAAAGTGGTACAAATTTCATTGAATTTTAGATTTTCCCATCGATTGATTGGACCGAAGTGCTCGGTCTCAGGTTGACATGTCTGTCGGCTTCTTGTTCAGACGCTTCGACGACTTCTGGGCATGTAATTAGAATTTAATTTGTGAATGGTGACTAGCAATGGAATCCAGGATGGGCATTTCGCCGTATTTGGGACACGTCAACTGGATGTGCCTGTATTCCTCAGAGAGTGATGATGTTCCCACCGAGGCTCGAACCCACTGTGTCCAGATGACCATTCCAAATAGGACGAACTGCGCATTCTGGATTCCATTGCTAGTCACCATCCACCAGTTAAATTCTCCGGTACAAATTTATTGTGTAGGACTTCACACCCTAACCGCCAGATTCTAAGCCTGACTAATTACTCTAATGTAACGCCTTACCATAACATTCTAACTCCCTGTCCCCTCTCCGTAGTCTAACCCTTAACCTCACTAACCCTAGACGTTAAAAAGTGGTTAAACAAGATTGGTAAAAGTTGTTGAAGCGAAACTGACTCA